ATCGAGTCCCCCTCAAAATTCGTCTAAACTTTATAGATGAAATCATTGATATAGCTGAAATAGCAAAATTTGTCTTACTGTCATGAAAACGAGACTACGAGGAAGCTAGAAATGCGCAAAGAATGACGTAGTTTCGAACAAACGGTCGTAAGGAGCATTATTCCGCCAGAGACCAAACGAGAGCAATGCTTTGAAGTAAAATGCCGCCCTCCTCTTCCAATTTCTAACCTGAAAATGAGTTAGTTGTGTGTTCGAAACGCAACCAAGAAAACATGCAGAATATAGAACTTAAACGGCTGTCTTGCCTAACACTATGACATAACATGAAAATGAATTGCGCCCTTTTTACACGGCTCTCTTTTCTATCACGGCGCAGAGATACAACTATTCGTGCTTGATGGATGTCCGTGTTGCGTCTGCAAAATTGAAGGCGCGAGGCGTGAGCTCGCGACGCTCTGCTCTATGCTGCCAACAAGGTGTCACTCAAATTCGGGGGAAGCTTAAAAATGAGGCCCGACTACGACTCTCCTATCTTCGGCTAGGTTTCTCACGTAGCCATTGAAGTACCACTACGATTAAAACAACCGGAACCAACACAACATGGAAATAGAACAGAGGATAGGAGGCGAGTTCATGACGGCGCAGAGATACAACTATTCGTGCTTGGTGGATGTCCGTGTTGAGTCTGCAAAATGGAAGGCGCCATAGCACGAAGCGTATAAACAATTCAACACTCATGCTCCGCTCTAGGCAGCCAATCAGGTGTCGCTCAGATTCGGGAGAAAAGTTAAATGTGAATAAATTTCTCCCAACTTTGACTGTGTTGACACTTCTTTTTTTTTCATTTTGATGACTGAATTTTTTTATGATGTATGATGTAATCTGTACGATGTATTTTTAGACCTATTACTTCGTATATGCCGGCTCCATACGATCCGCAAGGCACACTTATACCAAGTCTTGGTCGATTTGACCCGACTTGGGCATGTAAGGGTTAAATAAATAAAATTTCGCAACCTTGTCGCTATCTTAGTGAGTGCGCACAATATAGCTCTAAACGATTAAATCCACGTTCTGACTTCTGAGCCGTAAGGAAGATTTGCCACCCTTTTCAGACCCACGCGTCAAGTCGGCCTCAAAGAATTCCTCTTTAAATGAGTGAAAATATCGACCTGCAAGTTTATTAAATTACTATCAAGAGGAAGGAAAAGAGTAAATAAGAATCGCTCGCCGGGTGGAATCATTCCCTCCTAGAGGTGTTTTCGATGTCAAGGATGCGAATCTTTTGACGAAGGTCTAATCAACCGATCTATGGTCCTGTCGGTTGCTTGGGTTGTGATTTGAACATGCCGAGGTGGAAACACATTCAAGCGTGATCAAGGAATCTGTGGTGTAAACTGCCGTGCTAAGGAAAAACGCCGTATAAACATTCGAGAGTTGCCAAATTGTCTCCCATAAAATGTTTTTATTTTTAGGAATAAGAATATGAATATTTTGCCTTTATATTTTCAGGAACTTAAAGAGAAATTGCTGGCAAAATTATCCGAAAAATTGGAGGAAAAAATATTCACATGTCAACCAGGGAATTCTTTTTTTTTAAGGCAAAATGGCAACGCCTGTACGCCTGTACGCCTGTATTAACGCTCGTACGTTTTTTCCCTTAGAAAGGCAGTGATAACAGGTATTTTTTTTTTTTTTTTTATACTTTTTTTAGAAAAACAAAAATTTGTTCTGCTACTAGGGGAGCGACGAAATGGGGAAATATCGATAATCAATCATTATTTACGCCTCGCCACTGGAGAGAAGGTGTGAGGAGGTCTCCAAGTTTGTAAAAATGGACAATTTTTCCGAACCGGGAGTAAACGTTCAAGAGTATTATGTTGGAGATAGATCCTTGCAAGGGATTGGAAAGAGTTACCGCTGCAAAAAATACGTAATGCGACGGGAAAAATTCCATAATATATTGCAAATTTTAAGGTAGGTCTGGATTAACCCTAATATTTGGGCAATCCCTTATTTTTTTTCTGCTACACTACGCAATTTTTGTGGAGACAAATCATATCAATCCTATGCAAGGATCTATTTCCAAAGTTATATTCCTGAATTTCACTCCACCAGGTTATTATTACTAGGTTTGGAAAAGTTGTTCTTTTTGGTCGACATGTACACTCAAAACTGCAGGAATCTTTTGAGCATTTGAAAGGAGTATATATTACATTGTTTCAACTTAAATAGCGAGCTGTTGATTTAAAAAGATAAAACTCACTATAAATCTGAGTCCTAATATAGAATTTTGTTGGTTTTATTTTGGACTACGAAAAAAATCAGAAAGTAACAGTGGATACTCTGCCTTCCTAAGGAACAACGCCGTATAAGCCTTCAGACGTTGCCAAGTTTCCTTCGATATAATCCGAATCTATTGGGTAAATTTTTAATATTATTTTCCAAAATTTTCAGACGATTTTAAGCGCATTCAATCTAAAATATCTGAAAATTTCAAGGGAAAATATTCATAAATGTTGTCTAAAATACATGATTTATCTAGTGAAATCCAGCAACTCTCGAAGGTTCATAAGGCGTTCATCCTTAGCACGGCAGTACTGTTCTTCCACGTTTTAGCAAATGAATAACCTATATCGTGCAAATTGCAATGAAACGTAACTGAACAAAGTTTAAAACGCCTTCAGAATCCAGGATAGGCATCTTAACAGACATCCGTTTTAAGGTGATTCTCATTGTCAGTGTTCGGTGATTCTAACGACATCTGCCCGCTTACCACTACATTGCGTTACTACACGACTTGTATCTTTAAGAGACAATAATAATCATCGAAATGTGTAGGTTAATGCAAAAATCTGACCCATAGCGTTCAGCAGCATTAATACAAGTGGCGTGGCGTGAATGATCGATTATCGATATTTCCCCATTTGAAGCTATAGTAAAGAATCAATTATTGACTTGTTCGTTGCAAACACCTTGTTTATCGATCCTTTTCCATAGGTCCAAGTTGCAGATTAATTCATAAATCGCAAAACAAGCCACGCTACTGATTAATACTGAGTAGTATAACATCAAATTTGTGGAGGCTCGTTTACATCGGAAACTACCACAACGGACATCTAGTCGCTCTTTGATTCAATGCGCAACAAGAGACAGCACTCTAATATATCTTTCATGATTGCGGTTTTGTTTTCGTCTTTTTTAGTTCGCCTTTATTTTTTATTAATTTATTTGTCGTATTATAATTAAGAACGTTTTAAGTGTATTTTGATCATTTTCAGATGTAAGACTACCCAAGAACAAGAGTGACAGGACCTGTAGCAAACGATTCGAGGATAATCAGATGTAACATATATTAAATTCTAATTAAAAATTTGAAGCTTTAAAGTAAGCAAAGAGAACAGTTTGATGTTCCGCAGCCCGTGACAAGATATACAATAATAATAAACTACACAGCGGGTAATATAAGGCTAATTTTCACGTTAATATCACCAAAATGTTTCGGCTGAAGACTCAGCCTTTCTCATTGGACGAAAACAGTAAACATTTGTCGAAATCTAAGTACTACGTTTTTTATTTTACGTTTTAGATTTTTACAATTTTTTACCGTTCCCATCCAACTGAGGAAGGCTGAGTTTCCAGCCGAAACGTTTTGGTGATATTTAAGTGAAAATTAGTTTTGTTACTCGCTGTGTAATTTGTTATCATTGACAGTCAGCAGTGTTTTAGTTTATCGGCCTAAAAAGTAGTATCATTTTGGCTTTCTTTTATATTTAAAATAAATTAGAAGCGCCGTGGTGCATGGACTGCATACGGGCGTGTAAGGCAAGAAGTGAACGTCCTTGATTGCAGGCGCCTCAGACACCAATGAATTGTCTGACTTTGACCGTGTCGAAGAAATACTCGAACTCAAGCGCCTGTTTTAACACTGTTAGTAGTGACTGTTTCACTGTTTTAAATTTACAGTGATACTAGGGGGCTATGCTTGGGTTGATTCTGATGTTAAAGTTCGCGAGAAACACGATGGTGCCACTGGTTTTCTCTGAAATCAACTCCCAGACGCCGTCGAAAGTGAAGATTTTGGCCGGAGCAATTCAATGTCTTTGGAGCAGATGCGTCGTTTGGATTCGTGATGCTGCAACAGCACCGCTCGCTGTCCATCTCTACCACTTTCTGCAACATAAATAATAAATAGATATGGAATTACATACATTTCCATACACTAAAAAAAAAATCTCGGCGTTTTTACCAAGGACCGTTGGTACCTTTACCATCTCACTTTTTTTACCAATTATTGGTAATTTTACCAAGACAGACTGATAAGCCTACCTAAAAACCGGTATTTTTACTGTTTTTTTCAGGTATAAGAATACCACTTTTATTGGTAATCAATTCCCGGTAACTTTGCCATTTTATATCGGTAATTCTATCACAGCCGATAAAACATATTGGCGTTTTTACCGGGGTCCAGTAAAATTACCGAGAAAGTCGATAATTTTACCGAGATTTCTCCGTAAAATTACCAATCCCATAAATGGTAATTTTACCAAGAAAAAACTGGGATCAAATAGAATCCTGAATTCTTGGTAATTTTGCCCTTTTCTTAGTAAATACACCGAGATTTTTTTTTCAGTGTACATGTCAAAATATCGTAGTTTGAAAAACTTTAAATACCACGCTCGAGATGGTCATCCGGCAAAATTGACAACAAATGGACTACATTTTGCAATTAAGAACTATAAATTCTAGCCCGGTTTAAAAACAACGTACATGCCGTTAGTTTCCCTATGCACATACGTGTTTTTCCAGAAGAGCGAGAACTTATAGCTCCACATTGTAAAATGCAGTCCAAATCATCCTCTGTCGATCCTCTCTCTTCTGATTGTGAGTCCCGATAAGAGATTTTCTCTGACACCCGCGCCTCGCCGCGCCGCGCCGCGCCGGTCGCCAAATCGAGATTCTGCCAGACGGAGAGGGGATGTTCGGCGTGTCTGAATACGCACTGCAGGCTGATTATTTTCAGTGTCGATATTGAAATCGTTACGTTAACGCCGTCGTTAGCGGCAGGAGTATAACCGAGCGATTATTGTACTGCGCGCCGATCGTTAAACCGTGGCGGGAAATTTGAATCCGTCGATAAGTTAAAGGTTGCTCTGCGGCCACCTCTAAGCTAACGATTCGCGGCAATCTAACCTATAAACCGTCGATTTGTGAAGTTCTGAGTCTCTAGTGAAGTTGTGACAGTGAGTGTTTTATTCGATTCTTTATTTATTCCTCAGTTTATAGTACCAATTTATTTTAGTGACAATGGCCTTTATGTTTTTATTTAATAACCACGTTCAAAATGTTGATCAAATTGTGAATGAGGAGGAGTTGATCACCCAGCACCGAATCAATCGGAAACGCTTGAGGGATGCATGTGATCCTTTTGAAGTTCCTGACTCTTGTTTTCGGCAGAATTTCCGGCTCAGTAAAGATTGTGTCCGAGGTCTGATTCAGAGGCTCTCGCCTCATTTAGTGACTCAGCATGCAAGAGCGAATGGCTTGACACCTACTCATAAGGTTGGTAAACTTACATCAATTTTCGGAATGAATGCGTTTCAATGTTTACATTCTTGCATTACAGTTTTAATGACCATCAAGCATAAGCTACTTACTCAACTCATTATGCTACACAAAAGTACAAAGAGATATGTGTCGTATGAATTTGTAAGTCCTGAGATTTACTTATTACTTCTATCCGAATCGAAGCTCATTAGTGAAGGAGGGTGCTTGGATTCACTTTGTTGTACTGACATTTCAAATCAAAAGTAAACATAGCTACCTCCCTTTAACTTGGAACCTCTACGATATGTATATGACAGAGATACTGTAGTATGTGTAAGTATAACCAACAGCTAATGTGTCTGTGTATGTTTTTCTTCCTAATTCCTCAGGTTCTTGCATCGCTAATATTTTTGGCTCACGGCTCATATCAAAGAGGATGCGTTGCTGAGCATGACCTTCTTTACATGTGCCAGGCATCTGTAAGCAATTCCTTACATGAGTTTTTAAATGCTATGGATGCAGAGATCGTGCCAGCTGTGATCAAATTTCCACAAACAGAGGAGGCAAGGGATGCAGTGAAGCTTGGGTAAGTAATTAAGTATGAACTCTCATAGCTCTTGTTTCTCAGAAATTACTTATGTCTTGGAAAATAACGGGTGATTCCTTTGATCAGAAATGATCAACATTCAACCAACTCTTGAAAGAAGCCTAAAAAATTATCAAAGAGGATCAAAATTAACAATGTTATGAAAGGTGTGAAAATGAAAATGCTTTGAAGTTACCTCATTGGTAAAATTTTGCCTACAAGGATGATCGGTAGGGTTGACCCAGGTGGATCAAGTCCAAGGATTTTTCTAGAAGGAGCGATCCTCCTGAAATATAGTGCACCAAAAATTATGACCTTATTGCGGGTTTCTTCACTTGTGGGGGCGCATCCCTTAAAGACTGAAGATTTTTTTTTCAAGATTTATTTATTTCAAAAATTTAAATTTACATAAGTACAATAAAATAGCTCTATATGCCAAAAGTGAGCTTGTGTGGCATATGTTGCTAAACCAAATAAAATAAAGAACAAGAAAATAACTAATTAATGAATGTCATAGCCTGACAGAACAAAATAATATTTTTAAGGGACAATAGAAAGAGAAAAATTTACGACAAAAAAGTGAAATTGTAAATGCAGAAGAAAGACAAAGTATGAATGAATAACTAGGAGAAGAGGTACCATAATTAATTGTTAAATTAAGAGGAAAAGTGTGATTGATTTTTCAAGTGTGAAGATAAATGTACTTTCATTAAATGAAAACAATTTCTTTTTCTAGGTTTTACACTAAATTTGGGTTTCCTGGCTGCATCGGTGCCTTAGACTGCACTTTAGTCCGAATAGTCCGTCCACATTTGAACGAAGAACAATTTTGGAGCCATAAGGGGTACCACTGTATGAATGTTCAATTGGTAGGAATTACTTCTCTAAATTATGATTAACCATAAATTTCATACATCAGGGTGCTCAGCCCGGACTTACAATTTTTAACAAACAATTGGCCACCTTTAGATTTCGGAAAGTGAATTAAAAAAATTAGATTTCTCAATGTTTAGCTCCCTTTTGTTGCACCAAAAGATCTGAGATAGATAATCTTCAACCTCTCAATTCATTTTTCCTAAAACTCATAAATGTCACTTACTTCCCTCATTCACTGGAACTTTCAAACTGTCATTGTTTTACTTAACTGCCATAAACTTAATTAGAGCAGTGGTAATTGAAACATTAATGTGTAAGCTTCAAGCGTCACTTGGGCAGCTTTACTTAAGTGAATGGAATCATGAAGTTCTATGATAAAAAAGTAGAAGAGCCATTTTCTTTTATTTTTTAAATCATAATGATTGAAAAATTGACGGACTCCCAGAGTGATACCCCAAAAAAGTTTGCATTTTATCTGATAGCATCCAAAATTTTTCAGGTGTGTGACAGCAACTTGATGATTCTCGCTGTGAATCCACGCCATGGAGGCAGAACCCACGATGCGTTTATTTGGAGATTTTCTACACTACAGCAAGAGCTACGTCGTGTTGTTACAGTTGAAGGCGAAGAATACTGTTGGCTCATCGGTTAGTAATTTACTGCGTATATTAACCTGTAACGGTTCTTAGAATACCATCCATGGACTGCTTTAAGTTTTCTTGACTGTATTGAATGAAACTCTGACAAGCAATTCGAATCCTCATACATTCAATGAATGACTTTACTGATTAACTTCCTAAAAATGATGACTATACGACTGTTTTGAATATGAGTGAAAATTTGTTGTATTAAAATCGTTTAGTCAAGGTAACTAAAAAGTTGTGCCGCTGCTCCGCCAAAAAATCAAGTCGTTGCTTTTCAAAATCCTCGTAATTGTGTTCACTTTTAGTTGCTGCAACCAAAAAATTTTTGGCCTTAGGGACTTATGTTTTCATTTGCAGCAACTGAATTTTTTTTCACCTAATTTTTCTGTGGCAACGACTAAACTGCTCAATCTTTAATCATATTTGAATTGGTCTCATAGTCGTCACTTTTACTGAGGTTGCATTTAACTGAAGCAAATGTCAACAGCTCTCTGTAACGTTTGCTTAGAGCTTCAAAATTAAAATTACGCTTCAACCTCTTCTGGTTCTTTTGAATGTATAAAACTTTTGGAAAACTTACAAATGTTTCTTAAAATTGTGTCATTTTTGGGCCATACCTATTGTAAGTATTTTGCAAAATGAATGAGCTTCATCTTTTTCTTTCTCTCCCCATTTTTAAGCTTCAGCAAAGACAATATAATTTAAATTTGATTTTTGAAGAATACCGTGCTTACAGATAAATTATTTCATATGATAGGTTTTGTTTGTCTTTCAAGTAATGAAAATTTCCCTGTTTTTTTTCACAGGTGACAGCGGCTACCCTTTGCAACCCTGGTTGCTGGTTCCAATTGTCGGTGCAGACCCCGATTCTCCAGAGGGACGTTACACGGCTGCACACATTTTAGCACGGAACTGTGTGGAAAGGGTCAACGGTGTAATTAAGAACAAATGGCGCTGTATCCTTGGAGCTAGAGCTCTTCACTATGATCCTGACACAGTGCGCCAAATTATCCGCACAGTTTGTGCATTGCACAACATTGGAATGATGGCTGTACCTGAATTTTTAAATGAGCACATGGACTTTATCATTCCTCCGAATATTCACGTCAATGCTAACCCAGTAATAGAAGCTGCCATAGGTGAAACTGTTCTCCAGGAAGTAATCGAAAATCATTTTTCATAAGGTTTATTTTTCACTTTGTTTTTAATGTATAGGTCACCTCAGCAATATAATTCATATTGCTACATTACCCAATTCTATGTAACTTTCAAAACTTTTTTGGCTATGTACAAACAGACTGGCCATGCCATCGAATAAAAAAAGTTCACACTTTTTATCTCATGTTGCTTTCTCAGGAATGATTAAGTACCTACTTCTTAAAATACAAAATTAAATATTGTTGCATTTTTCTTGTCAATCGGAGCGAGCTAGGTTCTTCGGTTTCAATTTTTGAAATAAAACTGCCTACCTGAGACTTTTTATTGTCTTCTTTGACTTCCTAAAACGAAGAAAACATTTCTCCATGCATTTTTCTGCTCCCACGCCAAAAAAAGAAGAAAAAAAAAATTTAATTCTACATTCAATTCTGATACAATATTATGTACATCAGGTTTGAAACTAAGCAAACATTCTATTTGAAGAGAGCAAAAGTAGTTTTGTTTGTTTCTTCAAAAACTCCATTTATGTATGTTGTCCTCCAATCCCTTCAATATTGCGAATCATTGGATAGAAAGTTGGAACTTTTATCTACTTTAGATCTCCTACTTCTGCAGCTTTCAACTCAATGTCGAATTTGAAGTTAGTTTTCTGTCTGTTTGCCGTAGCGAATTTCTACCCTAAATTTCTTTGCCTTAATAAGTAGGTTGCTTTTTAAGTGCTATTGTTAAGTGTTTAGTCGGTAAGTGGTAAATCGGATCAAAAAATCTCCTTGATTTACAGAAAATCAAACTGAAAATTGCTTTATCTGCTGAAATAAACTTGCCATAAGTAACATTGAAAATAAAGACTTTATTTATTTGACCCTTTGAAGAAACATATTTGCATCATTTGCACAAGTTAGAACTACGTTACAAACGTGAGGAGGAAAAAACAATTAACAAAACAAATATGACTAACAAAAGCTACAAGTTTTGTTTGGTACATAAAAGCACTCAACATGTAGAATTGGTCAGTAATTTGGAAAGAGCATTTAAACGAAATGTGAACAAAACAAGGGATCAAATATTCAGAAAAATTAAGAAATAAACTCGAGTCTTCTGTGACTACCGAGGTAACACGTTTCATAAGTGCAAGAAAACAGAGCGATATATAATGAATAACAATGGTAAATAGTACAAAGTAGAAATGAAAAAAAAAAAATGACTCTTAATGAGCCCTTTTGTGGGGCTAGGAAAAAATAACAAAAATCTATCTGAAATTAAACATAAATTTGGTACTGGTACCTCAGGTTTTTTGTTTTTTCTTCTTCTTTCTTTCTCAGTTTTTTAGTTTTGCTCCTCCTGCAAATCCCAACAAATAACCTGAAAAAGGTTGTTTGGCCAAACAACATTACTGTTGATAATTTTATAACAAGCAAAGCAGAGACGCAATGTTCCGCAGTTGGAATTTTCTTAATATTATAGGTTCCCAATTTTCACTCATTCAACAAATCCTAAGGATTTGTTGAATGAGTGAAAATTGGGAAGTCGAAAATAATAGGTGTACCATTGTAAGAACTTAATCATTGGTCTAGGAAATTATATATATACTAAGGCCTTGGGTAACTTACTCAAATTAAGTACTAACGAGAACCAAAGTTGACTTAAACCTACAAATATCACTACAAAATATTGTTAAAGTATGAAAAACTTTAAAGAACACATCTTGGTCTACTATCAGTACGGAGTGTAAATTATCACAGAGAATAAAGAAAGACTTAGAGAGCACGACGAGGCATTGTTTTCCTTTGCTCAATAATTTCTGAGCTTTTGGTTCCTGCGGAAACCATTATTTTATTTACATGTCTTACACCTTTTTGCTTTGAGAGAGGAAAGAGTCCCTCCGTAGAGGTAACAAACTTGTGAGCGAAAACTGAAGCGCTGCTTCAATATCCAAATTTTTTTACCTGAGCTGCCAAGTATCAGAACTAATGAGAAAAACATAAAATGAAACCTTTAGATTCTTGATCTATTAGAAAGTAATATGAAGGACATACCTTTAGTAATAAACAATAATATGTACATTATAGGAGTCAGAGAGAAAAAAATTGAATTAATAATGAGCGAAGAATACTTCAGAGACTCCAAAGAGTTTTCATATCTTCCACTTTTGTCTTGGTTGGGAAAAACATTTTGATGGCAGTCATGTCAAGCAGAATTTTGATACA